ATAGTCGACAGCTGGAGATGATAGAAAATAACGTGAGCATTTAATCATAAAAGGGGTTGCGTGTCTTCAAGAGCAGAGAGCGCGCCAATCTCTGTTAGAGTGCCATGCGTTTTGTTGTGTTTTTTTTTCCTGAGCGATGGCGCCACCAGACACACTGTTGAACGTGTTCCTCGCCATCGCCGTAGACAACCTCGCCAACGCGCAGGAGCTGACCGCCGCCGAGGAGGAGGCCGCGGAGGAGGAGGAAAAGGTTGCAGCCGAAGCGGCCGCAGCCGCTTTGCTGGTTACTATACACATCATCACCTTTTCTCGCTCTCGCACACTCTCCGTCGGTCTGGGACACGCTCTCTCGTACTAGGGTGCTGCTGTTAGGCACAGCGCCCTCTATAGCATCTTGTCGAAATTAATCTACCCCCACACCGAGTTCCGTGGCCGGATAGGGTCACGAAGTTTCGGTGGGGCCTATTACTTGGTTTGCGATGACCACTCTCGTGGGCCCAGACAATGGCAGGGGCGTATATCTCTGTGTGTCTACGCAAATGGAGTTGTTTGGTGAAAGGTGCTCATTTAAGCGTGTGCTTTCGTGACTTTCCTTAGCGATACGTTATGAATGTCGTGTGCGTGCGTGTGTGAAACAATTCCCCGCTGTTAGCAGCGTTCCCCGCTTGCCAGTCTGCTTCTCAGCCATCTTCAGAAACCAACCCCGAACCGAACCCAACGCTTTGCTAAGGTGGGGATAGGATATCTGTATGATATTTCCACCGAGCGACACCGTACGCGAAACGCAAACATTTCTAGCGATTCACCATCTCTGCTCCATTACTAATTACATTGTTATGTTACTGTAACGGCTACTAGATGGCTCTATCCACGCCTAGCCTCGGCCCGCAAATTATCTCCCATCGCTCCATGTCCACCTGCTGAGTCTAACAGTACTACAAGTGAATGGACGGGAAATTAGTATGTACGTATTATAAGTGAGTCGACTATAACACTAGTCTGACGATGGGCTGAAAGTTATTAGACTGAAATTTTACATAGACCGAAAACGCGGTCCGAAAATCTATAAGTGTGGTGGACTGAAACTAGACGGATGGGTGACTGAAACTTCAGGAGACTGAAATTTTAACCAGACTAAAATCTGGCCTGAGTGTGCTACGAGTTAGTGGTCCGTCCGTACCCTGAAGGTTGTACCAAACTTCATTATATACTGAGGTCTTAACTATATTATACTGAATTACTACGTATACGTGATTAGCATGAGACCAGGGCTCTCGTACTTCGATCATATTTGTCGTCCTAGAATACCTGCTCCAAAAAAAAAGCGCCACGATAAGTGCCGTCTGTCGGGACTTGTGAGCGACCACTTTGGGAATTTCCGTAGGCCCCTACATCGGTTACTCTCCTATAAAGTTCACCACATAGCCACATTTATCTCACAGTCACTACGATGTGTAGTCGGTCTTAGGTATAGGGCGTGTAAAGGTTAGGGTTAGGGTTAGGATTCGACTTTACCCTTCGTTGTATTATTCAGATCTATATATCGTTTTATTTGAGTTTAGGACCTGGGACCAAGCTAAGGTGGTGTCATATCTATGGATGTTTAGTCGGAGTCACGTGAGTGAAGACATTAGCTCATGAGATATGGCTTCATTAACAACGTCAGTCACGGAGATCGGAGCAGTAGTTAGCAGGGTAGTAGTTATCTCAGTAGATCAACAGTTAGCAGGATAGAGCAGCAGTTAGCAGGGTAGAGCAGCAGTGAACAGGGTAGAGCAGCAGCAACTCTAGTGGATCATACGCATTCTCCAATCACCGCCACCCTCGTTCCCTTCCGCGTGATGCTCTCTCTCGCTCTCTGCTGCGTCTGTACACTAATGATGTCACCTGCTGTTTCTTTTCTCTGAATGTTTGCGATCACTGACTGCCCCTCACTGTTGCACGAGTATGTATATATATATATATTCATAGATATATAAACTTTGTCGTTGTGTACGCAGTAAAACCTCTCGCTCGTGATGTGCCCACACTCTCGCCATGTTATACACGCTGCCGTGATTAAACTCATTTACGCATTGTCAATAGAGAGGTTTTAATGCATTATAATATCGGGGTAAATAATAGGCATTATTTACTCCTAATGGTACGTGCATCGACTCTAAAGGTCATTTTTAATCGGATGCATCGCGTCTGTAGGTAGCTTATACGGATAGGCGTATGAAATTTTTAGGTCGTTGTATGCTGAGTAGGCAAACGTAGCTGTGCTAGTCATGTGGCGTGTAGATCAATAGCGAACAGTACTATAGTCGTGTTTCGCCTGCTGCTATGTAGTGTGTGTACACTAGACCGTTGTTGCGCGTCGGCTTGTTCTTTCTCCTCGCCTCGGCAGAAATGTGTAACGCCTGGTGTCGCTAATCAACGCTGTCTAGGTTTGAAATCAATCGCTGTGCAAAAATCGAGAGTAATTTAATACGCGGTTGATGATCGATCTTGGTGCTTATTACTCTGATGGTTATGGGATTAAGCCCTATAGAGGGCGTGGCGGCGGCGTCGATCGCTAGACCGCTCGTCGGCCGAACGCGAGAGTGCGACGACGCACCCAAAGTGAAATAATAACGCGTCCTCTTCTTCTTCTTCTTCCTCCTCCTCCTCCTCCTCCTCCGCCGCATTCCACGCGTTCGCCCCTTCTCCTTACTCTCCAACCCCCACGTGAGAACCCTTCTGCACCTCCCCTCTGCGCGTGTAAATGTATAATATATATATATATATATATAATATACACATATATATATATGTGTGTGTATATACATATATATATATATATCCTATAATATAATTTAGAGGCATCATATGCTATTCACAGACGACAGACGCGCCGCTTCCGCCGAGTAAAAAATGCGGGCGTGAGAGCGACCACCGGAGAGGAGCTTGATGAGTTTAGCATTGATCAGGATCCGACGCGAATAGCGCATGCGCGATAACCCCCTCCCTACCTTCCCACCACTTCCACCCACTCTCACCCCGGTGCGCGTGGCTCGACCCGCGATGCCATTCAACGCGGTAGCAGATAACTCTTACGCGCCGTATGTTGCTGAGGTCGTTCGCGGCAGTCGCGGCGGCAACGGCGGCGGCGAACCGCCTGCCTCCGCGGCCGCACGTAACCGTGGCAAACGGCGCGCGGCGAATCAAATTACGGCATAGGCTCGTAGATGCGTAGCTGGCTTTTGTTGGGTGAATGATTGTCGTCGCCGAAGTCGGCTTTTATAGAAGTTAACTAATCTAGCATGCAGTCCGTCGTTTTCGTAGTAATTAGCATGACGCGAAGTGTGGAGGCGCGCCAAACTAGTAAGAAAGTATATGTGCGGCGCGTGTGTATGACGTGCGTTCGTTCGTATATGCATACATGCGGGCGCCGTAGGTTCGCGTGCGTCGTCCCGTAATATGCTGCATGCGTACATGCGTTCATGCGTGCGTACGTTCGTGCATCCGTGCGTGCTTGCGTACGTACGTTCGTGGCATCGTCGTGCGTGCTTGCGTACGTACGTTCGTGCATCCGTGCGTGCGTGCGTCGTACGTTCGTGCATCCGTGCGTGCTTGCGTGTACGTCGTGCATCCGTGCGTGCTTGCGTACGTACGTTCGATGCATCCGTGGCATGCGTGCCTTGCGTACGTACGTTCGTGCATCCGTGCGTGCTGTGGCGTACGTACGTTCGTGCATCCGTGCGTCTGTGTACGTACGTTCTGCATCCGTTGCGTGCGTGCGTACGTACGTTCGTGCATCCGTGACGTGCTTGCGTACGTCACGTTCGTGGCATCCGTGCGTGCTTGCGTACGTACCTTCAGTGCATCCGTGCCGTGCGTGCGTACGATACGTTTCGTGCATCCGTGCGTGCTTGCGTGCGAACGTTCGTGCATCCGTGCGTGCTTGCGTACGTACGTTTCGTGCATCCGTGCGTGCTTGTGTACGTACGTTCGTGCATCCGCTGCGTGCGTGCGTGCGTGCGCGTGCGTGCGTGCGTGCGGTGCGTGCGTGCGTGTGATGACAAGACGGTAGCTGACGGCGCTGCTTCTGCCTATTGCAGCGAAAGGAGGAGATCAATGAGCGTATAACGCGCGTGAGTTCGGCCTTGCGGACCACCGCAGGTCAACATCTGCCCTCTCCTCACCGCAGAACAACGAGGATAGGAAGGGCACGCGAGGAAGCCACCAACTTCAGCTTGTAAGACGAACGAGAGTCGACTTAAATATCTTCATAGCGTGATTGACAGTCGTAGTCTAGACAGCGGTCAACACAAGACTCTAGACACACGTATCGCGAACGGACGTTCTAAAAGACAATGCGTTATCACGAAAGTACAGCCAAAGTCGATATTTTGGCGCGCACGCTGTCTACACATTGACCTTGCAACAAATATATGCTACTAGAGTGGAGCGTGTAGTTATCTCGATCTAGGTCGATTCGCAGTTCGATGGCGCCTAACTTTTGTGAACTCATTCTTGTCTCTCACTCTCTCGCGGACAGGAGGAGGGGTCTGAGAGTGCTAACTCGGCAGCAGTGCGTGCGGCCCATAAGATTTGAAATGATGCGTAAAACATGCGAGGGAAATTGCGAGGAAGTGAAATTATTATTGCGTGCAATCGATTGATAGCGAGTTAAGTACATTCTGCAATAATAGACACTCACGCGTACGCTGCATTACGAAACACCTGATAGCACCAAACAACGCACACGCGCGCTTCGCAATAACACAGAAAGTAGCTTTCTTTAATAACATAATTTATTATAATAATATTAAAAATAATAATATAATACTTACACTAAATCAGTATATAATTATAATTATGCATGAGAAATAGCATGCATGATATCGTGGTAAATTTTGGCATTTCCTCCATTAAAATAACATGAGCATCTCTCCTTGTTTCAGTGATAAGAAGGACACACGCGTGGAAGGACAACAGAGACAGCCGTTGCCATCTCGATGGAGGAGGAGAAAAAAGAAGCTGAATACGGATAGCGAGCCACATCATGGGATGTAGATCTCTCCGACTCTGGTACGATTCTGCTTCGGCTGTAAGCGTCGGCTGTGTGTTTGTTCTTTTGGATCCATATGTGCAGCCATAGAACCTTCGCAAACTATACTTTGCCTTCGCCATGCAACACGTCGCCACCTATACTGTGGTAACTATTCGCTGTTATGCGGTAAGGTGGTTAGCCTCACGCCAGCGAGATAAACCACCTCTACACAGCTGTCGCTAGACAGTCGGAGAGGAGGGGCGAGGAGGTGGTGCCTTCTTGCTAAAGTGCACAACAATAGCACCGCGGCGTGAGAGTGTCAGTGCTGTGTTTCTCTAAGAGTCGTAAAGAGGGGAGGCTGCAACATCGACAATATCGCGAGGGTGTTTCTGTGTTTCTCTGTGCTGTGTGTGTGTGTGTGTGTGTGTCGTGTGTGTGTGTGTGTGTGTGTGTGTGTTTCGCGTGTGTTGGTATGTGGGCGCGTGTGGTGTGTGTGTGTGTGTGTGTGTGGTGTGTGTGTGTGTGTGTGTGTGTGTGTGTGTGGTGTGTGTGTGCTGTGTGGTGTTGCGTGTGTTGGTATGTGGGGCGGTTGTGTTTGTGATGTGTTTGTGTGTGTGTGTGTGTGTGTGTGTGTGTGTTGTATTTCTGCGTGCGTGCGTGCGCGTGTGTATGTGTACTCAATCGTTGTGAGCCATTACTCGTTTTATACATAATAATAAGCTCGTCGTGGCGACGCGATGATAGCGACAGTTTAGAACGTCGCGTCCGTATAGAGGCGCCGATACACTTCGCCACGTGTCGTTTAAGCACATTTTGCGTTGCATAACGCTGCACTTCTTTAGGCGTCATTCGCATCTGCTTGGAGGAGATTTACGAGGCGCCCTTAGAGGTGAGCGGTGGCAAGTGTGGCGGGCGATGTCGCGCCGTGTCCAATCCTGCGCGCGGTATTGTTAACGGCGCGTTTGACGGATGTCCAGGTACTAGCGGCCGCGACGCGTGCATACGGTGTGAGGACGCTTCCTTGGTGCAGGATGCTTCGTGGTGGAGGATTCTTTGGTGGTGGGGGGGGGCGCTGCATGCTGGGGGTGGGCTAGCATGACGCATACGCGCTCGCTGCAATGGCGTGTGACTCACATCCGGAATTCCGTCAAAATCGCTCCGATGGCGTTTCGTTGATTTTACGCATCATGTTCTTTGTCTTATACTTGTTACGATTGATGCGTCCAATGCTGATGTAGTGGTGTTTGTGTCACAGTGGCCAGCTCCAACACTATCATCATCATCATCGTTACTCATTAGAGGCTTAACCTTCATGAGTCCGGGGAATCCGACCACCCGCCAGTGGTCGCGAATTCACCGTTGAATCTCAAACGTTCTCAGCATCATTGGAGTTGTCCTTTGTCGCATTCCCATACTCGCTTCATTCTCAGCCATCTATCAGGCTGTCGGCCTTCCTTGACCATGGTAAAATTATCCATTCGTACACCAGTGACCAAGCCATTCGATGTAAATCCGCTCTTGATAGACTTTTAGTGATTTGGCTCCCGTTAGTCGGTAGATATCTGCATTGGGTAGATGAATACATAGTCCGTCCCCTGCCGCCCTCTTGTCATCAGATATGGTGTTGGACACATTTTTTGTGTCGAGAGAGGAAAACAGGACGCCAATAACTTGAACTCCGTATGTTAACGATGTTATGTCATCGAGCTTGACCAGAGTTGTAGCTGTTGTGTCATCGTGTTACCATTAAAGACCATCGTCTCTGTCTTTTCGCGACTTACTGATACTGAACACTATACAGGATAGCTCAAATGAAATGCAGCTCATTTAACTCTCACAAAGATATAGAATTAATTGATCTTACCATTAATCCATCCCTCAATCATCCATCCATCCTTCATCCATGTGTACCTACCTTCTCGAGCATTACTCTCTCTCTCTCTCTCGGTAACTGTAACCCAAATTTTTTGAGGCCATATGACCGCTTTCATTGTACACTTTATCCTCCAGTCTCTCTCTGTCTCTCACTCACTCTTTCTCTCTCGCACTCTATTTCTCGGTCCTTCTCGCTCTTTCTTTCTCTCTCTCCTCTCTCTGTCCCTACTATATATACTAGCGGGATACCGCGCGTTACCCGGGAAATGCAGTGCGTTACTCAGTTCGGTGACGCGCTTGGTGAAGGAAAATACCCACGAAAATCTAACTATCTATCTATCCATGCATCACTATCCATACCCCCCCCCATCATCCATGCCATTGCCATGCCATGCTCATGCCATCCTATCTCATTGCACGCATCTATCCCATCCCTCCCATATCCCATATCCATCCCATGACCATCCATGACATCCCATGCATGCCATGCCATGCCATGCCATGCCATGCCATGCTATCCCATCCCATCCCATCCCATCGCGACCGCACGCGATCCCATCCCATCCATCACATTCCATGCCATCGCATGCCATCCCATCTCATCCCAAACAGTAAAAAACAATAAGAAATAAAAAAATAAAAGACAATTAAAAATAAAAAATAAAAATAAAAAGTAAGAAAATTAAAAATAATACATACTAAAGAGTAGGTAAAGGGGGAAAAAGGGAAAATAAGTTTCCCAGCTGCGGACTCGAACCCGGAATCTTGGTGTAGGAGACGGATTGTTCTAGCGATTATGGCACTGCCGCCGTTAAGGGCATACACCATGGATTCACACGTACGTGATGTTTTAATCTGTACGCCACCGCATCTTTTGATGAATAGAATTTTATCAATTTTTACCTTTTTAACTTTTTTTAATTTTCAAAAAAAACCTCCCAGACGTTGCTAATTCTGAAAATATCTTTAGTTTTCCTCTTGGCTGCGGAGTTTCTCTAGTTATGCGAGTACGGACTAATTCGGCTGAACAACTTATATATATATATATATTATATATATAAAGTTGCTCAGCCGAATTAGTCCGTACTAAGGATATATATATATATATTATATATTATATATATACTATATAACTCCCTTCTTTGAATCATTTGTTTTATGCATTGCTATTGGCTGTTTAACGGTGAAGGTAATTAAGGATCAGTAGATGTCGTAGCTATGGCATGGTTTGGTGGCGGTGGCGCGCTAACAACGCGGTTGCACCTTCGTGTCGAGTCGGTAATTTTGAAATAATCACACATATCGATCAACAGCGTAGACAAAACAATAACGTTATAATAAACAAGTGCCTAATAAACGCGCTCAAATATTATGGAACAATTGTTCGCTGCTGCTACTAAAGTAAACACACGTGTCTTGTAACAGACGATGCAGCGAGCATGGGAAGCAAGGACAAGTCCGCAGACGAATCCCATCCAGCGTTCGGTCCGAAACCAATGCTACCGTACACATCATTGTTCATTCTGTCTCCTACCAACCCGTAAGTATATACTGTTATCATCATATCAACGTGCGGCACCTATACACGGCGCGCCCACACATGCACGCACGTCTCCACGCGATTCCCAACGTTGACTGTTGGTTTAACGTTATAGAGAGCGAACGTGTTAACTTGACCTTTGTCACGATGTAAGCTGTTGCGGTAGCGCGGTAGATAACAATGGTCAGGGTTGCGGTATTTACTGGTAAGTAACGGCGGTACAGGGTAAGGAAGCTAGTAAGACCTAGCCATTGTCAACATTCCCTGTAACTAAGCCTGACCGTTGCCTATGGTTACAGGATGGGCGGAGGATAGCGATGCCTATCCGTCGGTCAACTTTAGCCGGTTACTAAGCTTGACCGTTGCTATGGTTAACAGGGTGCGGAGGCTGTGCCACTTCGTCGTCAACCTTCGCTACTTCGACATCTTCATCATGCTGGTGATTCTAGCGAGCAGCGTCGCGCTGGCGCCGAGGATCCCGTCAAGGAGGACTCGCAGCGCACCGTTCTCAACGCTGCTCGATTACGTCTTCACCGGCGTCTTCACCATAGAGATGCTGCTAAAGGTCGGAAATGCTGCGGCGGCATACGTTACATGTTTGTGTGTGGGGGTTATATATATGTGTTGTTGTGTGTGTGTGCGTGTGCCGTTGTGCGTGGTGCGTGCTGCGTTGCGTG